GAAAATGAACGATTTATTCCATAAACGCAACAAAATTTATAACAATATTCATCTGCTCTTTGACCCGAACATCCAGCTCACGTTTTTTCGTTTACAACATGTCATCACTCAGACCTAGTCTCCACTCGGTAAATAGGCAATGCGCCTTACACAAAATGAACACAAAATTTCAGTTCAGAACAGTAACAGAAACATCTGTCATCGAGTTTTGCCATTGAAACGAAAAGTTATTACTCTAGAGCTTCAAAACATTGAAATTAACACTTTTTATAGAGCAACAACTGTTTAGTTAGCAAAAACTTGAGCAGTAACTCATCTTTTTGACTACTCGAGAGCTTTATCGGGCCACCATTTTAATGTCACACAACGCATAAACTTGGAAATTCAGACGTGCTCTATTTCAAAATGAGGAACCCTGTCGAGCTTAACGCTGCAAAACATCAAGTTATTAGAGGGTCTTACATCTGATGAAACTAAAACTTCAGAAGGATTGGTAATTTCTTATTTTGGAAAATGATGATGTCACCTGAAAAGCGGTAATAGATCTATAAAATTGCAATAATTTAGGAAAAGTTAGTTATGAGTGAACGAGTGTACTCTCAATGAGATCAAATGGTGAATTTTGATGAAAGGTGAGTTTTGAGTCCCTTTTCTTCTATTACAACAAAAGTACTATATTTTATTGAGTTACATGTATTGAATCTTAATGTCATTGTGCAACATGCCCGATAGGGATGATATATATGTAGAATTTTGAAGTTCCTCTTTTTAGAAAGTGAAAAATTGATGATCAATGTTGTTTTGCAGACTTTTTCTGTTACACCTTGACTTATATCAGTGGCGGTAATAACTCTATAAAGTGACATGTACTGACCTAATAAGGCTATTTGAAACATGACTGAGGGTGAAATTTTTGTCCCTCGATTACTTCAAGCATCTTGCTATAAACATAGTTTATGGTTTGTCTTGGTTGCAAAAATGAAATTTAAGTGATGGACAGAAAAAAAAATATGCTAAATTGAAGGAATGTTCATTTGGCTCCACTCAGGGATTTGCTGTAGCTAAGAAAAAACCAAGCACAAGCCCAGCCATCTTATCAGGGCCTATATACCATCAAAATTACTCCAAATACATATTGGATTTTGCTGTTTCTTGTGGTAAGCTCTTTTTTAACTGGTGAATTAAGTGGTTAGCTGGCATCTAGTTTCATCCCTAATGTACAATCAGTGTGCGGTTCCAAGAAAAAAAAACGTACTCCCCTTACCGAAGGGATTGGAATTTCCTGGGAGTGGGAGGGGGATTCTGTAAGACCTAAAAATTTAAAGAAATGTATGAAGTTTACATTAATAACCGTTATGTGTGATGACGTGAGATAAGCAAATTTGGACACTAAGCCTTGCTTTGAAAATGCAAATTGTAAATTTTATTGTGTACAAATTCCCAAAGCAAGCACAACGGTTCCAGAGGTTTGAGAACATTTTGCCCAAGCAGGGCTTGGTAGTGAATTTTGAGCATGTGACATAGATAGAGGATATTACACGGTGGCGAGAAGATATGAATTTTATGTTTGAGTGGCAAGAACATAAAATTCATATCTTCGAGCCAACGTGTAATGTTCTTTTTATTATATGGAGAAACCAATTCAACAAAAGCAAAAGGCAGGAATCG